TGCGGGCGGTTAAAGTTCATGTGGCGGGATAATTAACTCGGGTCGGCTTTTCCTCGCGGCGGAAGAGTGTATAATTTTATTCCACGATCAGGACGTAACGGGGTAAAGCGTCTAATGAAATAAAGCTGCAATACCCCCCGAGAACAACTTTAAACGTTATCTAATAATAAGATTACGAAAGATTAATGACAAGAATTTCGCCGTTCTTTTACATTCCACCCTCATTACTCACTGTAGCCGGGCGACGGCCCGTAATTTCCCCAATTCACTTAGCCAATAACGTCTCAAAGTGTCTAGCGGAGTCGTAGGTGCCCCTCAACGCGGAAGGGTTCAGCCTGAAAGGGCAAATCGATCTCGCCACAAAGCCGATAATCCGGCATCCCCCGTCAAAGTAAACGAACATAACATACAGGCGCCTTACCAAGCACGATCTGATCCCTCTCCCCCCCCCCTACACCCCCCTTCGTGTGCATCTACCCCGCGGAGGTCTCCCGTGACCTCGCGTTTATGCGCGGACCAGCCCTCCACCTCCCCCGCAGCCGCCGAGTTTCCCCCGATTGACTGCGACCGCCGACCGCCATTACGTTATACCTGGTCTCACACTCGTCGCATAGGAGAACCTCGGCGCGCTCGGGCTAATATCAGTGCAGCTGCAGCTGCATCGCCGCACTACCGTGCGCGCCAAGATGCAAGGCCTAGGGGGGTCAGCAGGCGGGAGGGGAGATACCGAGATGTCGCGGAGGAGGGGTCTACGACATTGCCTACCGTCTGGTTTCCCCGGTTCTTGCCGCCTGTTTACAATCCTGGAAGACCGAGGCTGGTACACGCCGCCAGTACCGCCAGGTAAGGTAGCCGTTCGGTCGCCGGTTCGGTACTCGGCGCGGTTTACAACGGCCGGGCCGGACGATGCACCACGTTGGTGGGAAGCCTCGGCGAGGGTCCAGGCCGCTAAAAGGGCTTGCCTACGTAGAGCGTACGGCTACCAGCTCGCCGGCGGAGCGGAGAACAAGAATGTATCGCGGGTTTAAGGTTACGGGTGATGATGCCTCGATTATTCGCACGAGCTTCCGACCTCACCGCGATTTATCGGCAACTATCCGCCGAGCAAGTTGCGACGATCATTATACCGCTCGGCGAATAGATTGTTAAATACGCATTCCATTATTCATCAGCGATTTGCCGCCATTATCAGAATAGCATGGGCTCTGAAATTGCAGGATCTTGGGATCAATAGGTCGCGGTAGGCTCTTAGGATTTAGAAACTCCTGACATGTGCAATTTTTCCGTCAAGTACTCGAAATCCTTGTATCCTACGGCTCGTACGCTCGAAAATAAGATAAAAGCGATCAATTTCCGATCGGTCAGTAGATAAGGACGCTCCTATTTGGAATCAGTGAGCCGGAGATGGATCTCGGGCACGAGGTATCTCGGATATTTCGGAAAAATGTACGGGACGTGGCAATCATCAGGGATGACTTCGTATGCAGGCGAGGTAGCCTGGAGGTGCGCGGAGATTTCGGGGCCGATAAAAAAAAGAGGGGGAGTGTTGGGCGGTCGGAGGAAAAGGTGGTTCGCAACAGGGACGTGGCGGGAATCGTGTGACCTTCGATCTCGGAGGAAACCTCCGGTTCTCCATATCCGACGAATGATGTCGTTCGTTAGCCCGTACCGTCGGCCAGCGGCTCTCAACTCGCTCTATCTGGAATTCCAGGAGGAGCGGCCGAGTTACGATGATATCAATACTCGCGAGAGATACACCCGCGAGGGAGGAGCGCGCCATATCTCTCGCGATACCATTGTGGCATGCCAGCCTCTACTCCACGAGTACACTGCCTGCTAAAAGTTCCGAGAAATCGTTCAAGAAAATTGCGAATTTCGATCCCGACCCTTTCAACGCAAAATTAAACGCTCGGCCCAAGTCTCCGGGATCCAAGGTCGGTGAACACCGCCGAGCACCAGTTGCCGTTTCGTGCTCTTTGTCACTGGCCCAGGCATCGCGCGCGCAAACGTCGATTTCACTTCGTGTTTATTAATATTTTCCGGCCATTACATCTCTTATTCCTGTAACCCTAAGTGCTGATGTGCGAAGAGCACCGCGTCACGGTCGAGCAATATGCTCAGTATACCCAGCACGCGATCGTTATTCACACCGCTACCATAATCCGCGCCGATTAGGCACGCTTATCCGCGACGGAGCAGAAAATCGAACGGGCCTTAAACGGCGACTCCAAACCGCGCTGAAATATAAACACCCGTTTCCCGTGAAAAAAAAAAAGAGGAAAGAGCCTCCCCACACCGGATGAACGCTTCCAATATGACGTGCCCGTTTACTCCTAACTCCCCGTATCGCCGTCGCACCCTCGCCCGAGGAGATAAAGACGGGCCGCGCCGGGATTCCATGTGCGTCACGTTTTCGCCGCGCGTTTTGAAATTCGAAGCAGGCCCTGGTCCCTTCCAGGAGTTAACGTTAGCCCACGGCACAGAACCGCGGCTCGTTTTCTTCGCGGTATCGTCGCGCCCGGTCGAACTCACCTCCACCTACGCGCTATGATGTAATTCGCCACACGCGTCCCCGAGATTCTCGGACGCGCGGGATATCCATACCGCGTCTCTCGTCACCTTGAACTTAAGACACCGTGTATACCGATAGACGACCTCACGCGTGTATAAGCCTCGTACGAGCCTCTCGCGAGCCTAACGAATGTGCACGCTTACGCCAGTGGCGTAGAAGGGTGCCGGTTTGCTTCGTTTGACGTTACGCTACGTCGCGATGCTGCCGGAAAATTGCATTAACTGGCTGCGCAATGTGGATATTAATAACAGATCTGGAATTACAATGCAATTAACCCCCGAAATTGGAATTAATTATGGAATTACTGGATCAATTGTAATTCAATATTTATATATCAAATTTCGTGTTTGTTACGTCATAATAGCTCTCGCTCCGACCGTATCTGTTTCTGCAACCGTTTGCTCTAATCTTTCCCATCCCTCTGTATTCCGTAACCATCGCTCCGCGGCGGATATGATGTAGTGTATTTACGACGCGGCCGGCGAGCAATTATGCGTTTTTCACCGAGAAGAGAGCAATGATGATCGTCCGCCGCTCGTAAGCGTAATGAGACCGCGTTACTAATGATCGTACGTTTGTAATCACGTCGAAGGGACCGGATGCCGCCTGAACTCGCCGATCAATCGATGATATACTTGCGACGACCTTGGCAATTACTATCGTATTACGAAGCCGTTAATCGCCCCCTGACATTTTTAGCGTGCACGAAATGTCACTCGATCGCTCTCGTTAATTTCGCGGTAGCTTTGGACGGGCAATAGCGGGTGTTTCGGAGCAGCATGATATTTCCGTGAAATGCCAAACGCTCATACACGACATAATTTTCTTCCCAACTAGCTCGTTACAATTGCCGGCGTATCCTCGTTCAATTAACTTTCCGCGTTAAAGCTTCATTTTGTGCCGTTAACAAATTTTATCCCACGGATTACCGCAATTATATATAAATGAACGTTTGAGCGCAAAGTAACGAAGCGAGATTTCCCGGGCGGAAGCGATGCTAATAGCGTTTAGCAACTTTTTGCCAGCCCCACGAGGGTAACCGCCCCCCGCGTTACGCGGTCCGACGACGTCCGCGTAAGCCGAGGGGATTACGCTTCCCGGACGCTTACTCCAGCATCCTGAGGTAACGACAGGCTTAATCCCTTTCCGGCGAAGAGTGCCGCATCAAAGCGGAACCGACCGCATCCGCCGGTTTTACCGGAGGAAGTCGCTCTCCTCTGCCTGCGCTCCGGCATGCACCTCTCGTGTCTGACGCACGTTCCTCTCCGTGTCCGGCCAACGTTCCATCCTCCCGTCGACAAGCGTCAGGCCCGGGTACAAGCGCGCGTGCTGGAGAACGCGTACGGGTACGCTCGGCATCTCTCCTCCCCGTGCGCGAGCGTGACATAGGAGAGTACTTGGGGATACGAGAAAGGTAAAGGTAAGTGAGGCTCGTGCCCTGCCCGCGCGCGCGGTGACTGAACCCATACAGCATCTCACGTAAGGAGCGCACATGCACGCGCCGATACACGCGCGTGATACCCCGGCGTGCAAACACGCCCGCCCGGTCGGGACGTCAGACCGAAGAACCGTTCGGGGAACCGAGAATCCCATCGGTTAAGATATCGACGTGCTTTTTGGATTAAAGCGCGCGGCGGAGATTTAACGTGCGCATGGGTGGAGAACGGTGGAAGCTGCTCATTAATCCGCGTTATTTTGTTATCGCGCCATCGACCCCTAGGCCGTGAGAAGGATGATTATTACCGCGAGAGGAGTGGGTATAACGACCGCGAAATTATGTGACGTTAACAGAGATATTAAATCTCTCCGATGCTCGTTACTGCCTTCTTATTATCTCAGATTCTTGCGGAGACTTAAAGGCACTTCCATATTATGTGCATTATGTTATTATAGATTGTATAAGTAAAATAAAATATTATTTATAGCCTATTTCAATAAAATTACGTGCTTACGTTCACGTTTTTTTTTGCGAGTTGCTGTATAACGCACAAGTGAAGAAAAAGTCACACATGCAAATTTTGATGGACGGAAATTGACATTCCTAAAAATTGTGTCTTGTTCACGCGTGACAGAAATTGAAAACAGATGCGTAATCGCTATCGACTCGAGCCTCGGCTCAGCGCATCTCCCGAAGGGTTTGTTTAAGTACCAAGAAGTACACGGAAGAGCGCGGCTGGGTGGAAGAGAGAGGAGGTCTTCGTGTACGTGGAAGCGTGTGTGTGCTCTTTGCTCCAGTCTGTCATAAACCTTCCAAGAAGGAGGGTCTTGATTACGAATGTCGCGCTTAGAAGAAGTGACATATTCACGATAGACTAATCGCCGCGTTTGCATTTGCGGAACGCTCGCGCGTATTTGTCATGCCGGAGTGACCGAACGCAAACGAAAAGAATACGCGATGAAAGGAATACCCATAAACAAGATCACGTACCTTGTCCTCGCATGACTTATGGCAGATGTATTTGCACACTGAAAATAAAACAAAACTTCCATAGGTAACACGAATGGATTCTTCAACCTTATTAATTTTATATTTAATAATTATTCAATGTCGCCAGCGATAATTAACAACGTCAGTGATCTAGTCGAATTGGCGAGACGCCCGCCTAGGGAGGTCCAGGTTCAAACCCTGGCTGAGATAATATTTTTCGCAATAAATTTTCTGTATTTAAAAAATGCCAGGTATGGTCAAGAGAACACTAATGTTTTTATTAACTTTAAATGGTGAAATAGAAATAATAGATTTATAGATGGATTCTAATTGGACGGTAAGTAATTTCGCACACAGTTTTGATTGCTCATTAGCACACGCCGCGTGTCATTAAAACCAGCATTGTTGCAAGCATCATAATAGCTTCTTATTCGATCCGCGCGGTATGTTAACTTACAATCACGCTAATTGCGGACTAGTAGACCCAGACGCCCAGTGATCAGCCCGACCCAACTTTCACGCGCGTACACAAACGTGTGTACGATCGAGGGTGCATCTCTGCATCGATCGTAATAATCATCTCGCGTGTAATGTAGAGCAGGGCAATGAAACGTAATACCAGTAATAACGCTTAATAATATTAATAAAAGGGAAAAATGCCGAGTCTCATCCCCGGCGGCCTTGATTTAACCGGCACTCTCAGTAGCTTCCGTATCAACGATTGATTCGAAAGTACTACCGACGAGTGCCAGCTGTTACCCATTTCATTGCCCTGAAGGGAATGATGTTATCGACTCACCTCTGCAGCAGGAAGCTTGCTTGATCACCGCCTGGTGGCACAAATGACATGGTCGTGGTTTGCGCAATTGCTTGGTGCGGAACACGTGACACTGGGGTTCGAAGTCACTCTGAAACATGACAAGAGGAGGCCTCCAATTAGTACCACGATCGTTTCGGATGATCCAAAAAAAGAAACGTCAGCGACTGGCGCCATTTCGTACTTTTTGCGACCGACTTTTTCGTCGGCGTCGATCAAATTAGTTGCGAGAACCTTCCGAGCGATTAACCTCGTTAAAGCATCAGAATTATAAATGAGGAGTCTGTTCAAGGTAATGATACTCGAAGAAGAAACGCCTCGTGTTTGAAACGAGGTCGCAGATTTCAAATCTCGACTCCGGGACACATTATCGTGATAAAGCATTTATATGCGAAATCGTCAAGTTGGGAGAGAGCAATCTTTAAACACAAATTTACCTAACATAGCATTTATCTTTCTCAAACACTTATGACTTATGGTATCTCGATGTATCACATTCAATATTTGGAAATAAATTATTTTATTAGCCCGTTGTTCTTTTTCATACCCTATTGCGTGTAAAAAGATAATTTACAATTATATCGGCTGGAACAATATTGGATCCCGGATTAACATTAGTGTCACATTTGTGTGTGACACGAGAGAACCAATGAGAAGGTTCTTGACATTAAAAGGATCTAAATGAATCGGAATCTGTGGAACAATAATGTTATTACTGACGTAACGAACTTTTTGTAAAACAAAGTGTTAGAGTGCGGCGCGCGTTTGCAATACTGTCGGCTCGCAACGAGCTCGTGTGATTAATCACATAACAAATCAAGGATCAGCTCCACTTAATCACTGCTCCGAGAATCTCTCGGCCGCGCGCGCTTCGCGGCAATTATAATCATTCTCATGTGTGGCTTTTCTACGGCCGCAGATGGGAGAAGGCTCTCGAGCGGACGGCCGGTGCATAAATTGAGAAAACAGAACAGGCATTCATTAGGTTCGCGTTTATCCCCGGATACGCTGCCGGCGGAACGCTCGCCTCTATGACTCCGGTACGACAGTCAACCTGTTAACAGTACTTACGCCGGTGCACAGCACTCTATCGGGGGAGGCTCAGTCCGCCAAGTTATGCGCAAATAAGCGCCCGAGGCGCGCTGCTGTATCTTCCGCGAAGAAGCGCGGCCTCCGATTACGGACACGCGATGCACGTGGTCCTCTTCCACGAGAAATACCCCGTCTTTTCACCCACGTTCGATCGAATCCCCGCGGAGAAAAACGCGAATTTGAATACGAGTTACGGTGCTGGGGAGTCGCGCTCCGCGAAGCACGACTGAGCAATTGCGTATACGCGGATAGTTCAACAAATCTTTGTAGGAAAGGATTCCCTTAAAGTAAAGACATTCCGATGTAAACGGTGCCGACTTAAAATACATCGTATTTTAAGGAAGGCTCTGCAATGGCTTCATATTGTTCTTCAGAGAAATTCTTATTTCACATTAAAAAAAAAAGAGTGAAAGAGGAGATATGTCAAATTATATATTGTAGAACAGACTACATCGCAATGTACGAGCACAGCGTCGTAATGGACTGCGAAAGGTTCGCGAATGCGTGTACTTACGCACACGCATGTTATCTCTCGCGCAGATATTTAGCGAGTCGCACGTGTGCAGCGCAGTAATGAAACGTTTTTTAACGAGACACGTAATTGAGACGCGAGAAAAACACGCCGCTCGAGGGTTCTTGGATGAAATTCGTACAACGTCCCGCCGCTGCTGCGTTAATTTTATTACATATGGCGAATTTCTTATAAACTTCGATTGGCAACGGATGCATCGACCGGTCCATTACCGAGATGCAATATTTTGCAATTGTCACTTTTATTAGCATCGTGAAAAAAAAACACGCACTGTGATTTATTATATCGTATGGACTCTGCACGCGAGGTCTCGGGAGATTTTTTACTGAACATTATATGCCGCGATGCTTTCTTTGCTCATCGTCATTGTAAAAAATATTACGTACTTATTCTTTTGTCAAACGATAAAACATACGGTTCTCCTTCTCATGTTTCGTCTACAAACACTGTATTTTCAAACTTACTCTCTCATTGATTTATTCTCGTATTATTGTCAATGCATATTGCACAGAAATACAAATTCTTTGAAAGTCAAACACACGTTTTTAACATTTTGTTACTGCTTATTTGATTTGCAACTAGTAAACTTATTATATTAATATATTTAAGAAACACAAGTAAAAATATGAAATAATCTTTGCTCGTGAGAATTTGTCAAAAACTCGAGAAGATGTAACGTTATTTTGATTATGAATTTTATAATTCTATAAATATTTCCCATATCACCTCTTATCAGTTCTAACGAATTTAATTTCATCTACTATCATATAATTCTCAAATATTAAACGTAATAATAACGATTATATTAATTATTTGCTCGTGACTATTGCGCAGAAAGCACTGTTTAAAGATCATCAGAATTCCAATGGAATGCGCGAATCGAGATAAAATGGCTATTTAAAATCAATGAACAGTCTCCCAATAGTATTATATTTTAATCCCCTTAATGATAGCACATCCAATGCGTTAACTAATTATTGAATATGCGCTATCCGACAATGACGTGAGTAAAGAAACAAAGAATAATAATATAAATGTAACAATGCATACTGCTGTTGAATTTTGCAGCGATTACGTGTAAATCTCACTCACTAATTGCAGGATTCATTAATACCCCAGGACCTCTGACCTCGTTAAAACAAAGCACCGTCATCGTTGGTACGGAATCTAATTGATCTTTGCAAATTGAAAGAACTTGATGAGCTCTTGCGAACTTCTTGACATTGTCTGTCTTTTAAAATTCTACAATTTCCACATAAAAAATTTGTTAAAGGAGATTTTATGTCTTATTATGTGCCCTTTTTCCTTCGCTATATATAATCTTTTATCCTTAAAAAACTTATATAACTTAAATTTCAATTTGACAATTTAATTTCAATTTTATTACTTGTATATTATTAGAAAGATTTTAACATTTTCAATATGTATTTTTCTATGTTATATTAACTTGCTTGATCATTTCTATGGCAAAAATTATACGAGACTAAAGTTTATAAAGCTGACTGGGGTATTTCTAATAACTAAAGTTTTTTGGATCAAACTTATTGTAGTCGAACGTTTACATTGATTTTGTTCGCGATTTAATTATGCAAGTAGCTTTACTTTGCTCGATAAAACTCGCACGGTTAAACGAATTATCCAATTTAAATGCACACGTGCATTTTTCGTTCTACGGTCAAGACAAGTTTTCTTACGCGATACACGCAAACGGATTGTGCGTAGATGAAACGTTACGGTAGGATTTGGCTTAACGAGCGGGCTGATTTAGGATCATATCGTGGATAATCCACCTTGCCGCGAGTGGATAACTATATTTCATAATAGATGCAGTGGATCGTACGATATATCTTGTAACGTGTAATTTCAGCATTGCGCGCGTTCAATGGGTGCGATATCTATATAACGTTGTGCGGTCTAGTGCAATTCGTGATAAATGCATACGACGGGACCAGTCTGTTTTAATGAGTCTGAAACGAGCCAAATAGTTCTGCGGTTCTAAGCACCTGTTATTTCAATAAATTCAGAGAACTATTACAATCTAATAAATTGTAATCAGTAGGACCATTTCCATGATAATATCGCGAGAAAATTTCTCGTACATAATTACATTACAAGTTGAAACTTGCTTATAGATCGAAATTTTTCACAATAATAATGAGAAAAAATTAAACTAACTAGTCAGAAAATTGATTAAAAAATAGAAATATCAGTGAGAGAGAGAGAGAGAGAACAATAGAAAAAATGACCAAATAAATTCTGAACATAAAATTGATGTAACATTTTAAGTTTGATGTAACAATATTTAAGAAGTAATATTACATATAACTACATAAATTACAACAACAAAAGTTGTCTTTGTCTAACAGTTATTGCCCTACCCTGTATATGTTTTTAATAAATTCATTATACACATATTAATTAACTTGTACAACGACTTGTCTGACATAAAAATGTAAAAGAGAATTACGACATACCCGAATTTCTTTGAAAACATTTTAATCTAAGGGAAAATAAATTTGTATTTTAATTAGTTTGCTTCTTAATTACAACGATCGGTTGTCGTCTTACAACTCGCGGTTCTCCAAGTGAAAACTCGGGACCAGAGTTTCGCAGTACTTTTTTTTAGTGAAACCAGCACCTCAATCTAGATTCTATTTATGGATTTTGCGTCTCTGATTTTACGGAGCTTATGCAGAAAGTCAAATGCTCACGGGTTCAAAGCTCGGGCAAGCGATTCAAGTGGCATCAAGTGCGCTTTCTCTGTCGCGATATCGCATAGGCCTCAAGCAACGCGAGTTCGTTCGAAAGAAAACGAAGAGGAAGAAACGACGGCGGGCGAACGAGAGCTCGAACAGAGCCGGCTTTGTCGGGTCGCGTTCGCGCTTGCGACTCGGAATACTTCGACTTGCATTAACCGAGAAAGAAAAGACGAGAACTCCGCGTCCTTCCCCTCGATCTCTCCCTCCCGTTCAGAGACTCGGAGCCTTCTACTTCCCCGATGATTTTATCCTCGTGTCGAACGGTCTAGTGGGTGGGCGATATGCAGGAAATACTGACGCGGACTATTATTAGAGTGGCAGATAACCCTAGACGCATTCTCCAACTTTTCTCTCTGTGAAATGTACAACTGGTTTATCTCTTTTATGAACTTTGCGTTACGTTGAAGGCAACCGTATTTCTAACAGAAAGCACATTGGTACTGAAACGTGGCGGAAGGGAATCTCTTCATTTCAAGTTCGGAAGACAGAATAATACATGTACCATACGCAGAGCAAACATCAGGCACGCGCTATTAATCAACCACGACGACGATTCGCATTGGTCTAATCGTTCGCCATTTGATCATATGTACCCGAGTCGCGAACTGATCGCCGCTGACAAACGGTTCGCCAAGGTGGCCGACCCGTGTCGGCGAGGAAGCGGCAGCTATAGAAGAAAAATGTCTGAACAAGCGATCGGACCCAGAA